CTATTAAAAAAAGAACAAGACGTTCGAAAAGAAATACTCTACCAGCCACACCAGGGAGCTCTGTTGAAGAAGTGGATCCCCAACCTGGTACCTCACAACAAAACAATCATGAGACAACTCAGACTGGCGAAGAATCGCCGTTTTTCACTCAGAACCCATTTCAAGTGCTATCAAATACACAAAACGAAGAAATGGAAGCAGCACCCACCCCCAGGGAACCCAAACCCCCACCAATATTCCTTAGGAATATTAAAAACTTTCAGTTAATGTGTCACCAATTGAATAACCTAGTGGGCTCAGGAAAATATTTATGCCAAAGCCGCACCAATGACACTAAATTAATGCCCGACACTCCAGAAACATACAGAAAAATTATAAAATATTTATCTGACACCAAGGCTGATTACCACACGTATCAACTGCGTCAAGAGAGGGCGCTCAGGGTCGTTATCAGAAGACTGCACCCATCTACGCCAACAGATGCTATAAAAGAAGAGCTCGTGGGTATGGGATTCCATGTTCGCCAGATAGTGAATATATTCAAGGAGGATAGAGAACAACCTGGAATAAAAAGTAAAATACCGCTCCCACTATTCTTCGTTGACCTTGACCGAACGCCCCAGGTCGAAGACATCTACAAGGTCACACGCCTTTATTACACCAGCGTTGTAGTAGAAAAGCCTTACACCAAGCGTGACATCGTTCAATGCCATAACTGTCAGGCTTATGGCCATACGAAAAGATATTGTCATCACATTCCTAGATGTATGAGGTGTGGTGAGCAACACAAAACAGAAGAATGTAGGAAGTCTAGAATTTCACCTGCAGTATGCGCTTTATGCCACCAAAGGCACCCTGCCAACTACAAGGGTTGTCAAACATATAAAGAATTAAAAACAAGAATTTACGCAACTCCTAGAGAAGAAGGGACATCCAGGCCACCAAGACAACCCTCTAGAACAGTGAACGGAAGAGTGACCTATGCTCAGATGTTCAAAGGAGACACTATAAACACTCAATCTCAGGCCCTGCCACAAGAACCTCAACCTCGAGAATTCACACATCAACCTCAAGACCCATATCCATCCATCCCTGCACCTAGGTTCTATAACCAGACATACATTCCTCCTCCTTCCAATTCCACTGACCTCACAAGCCTATTAACTTCTTTCCTCTCTGAATTTAGATCCCTCATCACCCCTCTTATTTCATTACTTACCAATGTTATATCCAACCTCATTCCACCGCCGAGAAATCCATAAACGTCCTCAACCAAATCCCTCTCCATTCTCCTATGGAATGCGAATGGTATTCGAAATCACATCAACGAACTGACAATCTTATTACATGACAAAAACATCGACATAGCACTAATAACTGAAACCCGACTAACCAACAATCGACAAATCAGCGTTCCTGGCTACAATATTTATAGAACCGATCATCCTGATGGAACAGCACATGCTGGCACTGCTATAATTATCCACCGATCTCTCTCCCATCATTTATTTTCCTTACCAACCCATAATTTCCTACAATCCACTGCCGTAATAATCCAAACTTCCCTTTACCCAATAACATTAGTTGCGGCCCCCCCTAAAATACCCATTTCCGAATCCCAAATAATTTCCTTCCTGAATTCCTTAGGACACCATTTCATCCTAGGTGCAGATTTAAATGCAAAACACCAGCAATGGGGAGCCAGATCCACAAATTCCCGAGGGCGAACATTGCTATCTGCACTTAATTCCCATCGCAGCAACATCCTTTCACCTAATACTCCCACATACTGGCCAACAGATTCCAACCGCAATCCCGACCTTCTAGACTTTTTCCTACACAAAGGTCTAGGATCATTACACTGTTCCATTTTAAGGCTTGATGATCTTTCCTCAGATCACAGTCCTATAGTCCTGACCGTTTCCACATCACCCATTCCTAAATCATCCCCTCCTTCATTTATCAGGGGACCAGTTAACTGGAACCTTTTCCGTCAAATATTGGATGATAATATAGACCTCAGAGTTTCCTTAAAAACACCTGAAGACCTTGACGATGCAGTGGACTCCTTCACTACCCTGATCCAGCAAGCAGTTTGGACTGCATCCTCACCTGATCGTTCCAAAAAACACCTCAGTATAAATCCTCTACCCCAAGACCTATTGGACCTTATCCATAGCAAACAATGCTCTAGGGCCCTCTGGCAAAGAACCAGGCATCCTGATGACCGGAAATCATATAATTATTATTCCAAACAGGTAAAAAAGAAACTGGATATCTTTAGAACCCAATCCTACAATTCCTACCTTTCCTCATTATCATCTAATGATAACTCCCTCTGGACTGTAACTAAAAAAATCCTTAAATTCCAATCCATTTCCCACCCCCTCCGCCGTGATGATGGTTCCTGGGTTTCATCAGATGCGAATAGAGCTGAAGAGTTTGCTAAACATCTATCCTACACATTCACTCCCCATCCCGAACTCCATCCCACCCACACTGCTGAAGTTAAAGAATTTCTCTCTTCACCAATTCCTCTCTCTCTACCTCCAAAACCTGTTAACCCCTCTGAGGTAAAATTCCTCATAAACAAATTAAAACCCCGAAAATCCCCTGGATATGATCTCCTCACTTCACAAATCCTCAGACAACTTCCCAAAAAAGCAATCCTATAGCAAACCTATCTATACAACTGCATCCTTCGCACAACCAACTTTCCTTTGGTGTGGAAACATTCCATAATCGTGCTGTTTCCAAAACCAGGCAAACCCGTTAATAACACATCATCCTACAGACCGATAAGCTTACTCCTTATCCTCTCAAAAATCTTTGAGAAAATCCTCCTCAAACGCATCCTACCCATACTCGAATCCCACAACATCCCTTCTCATCAATTTGGATTCCGCTCAAGACATTCCACTGTCCAACAAGGCCTTCGTGTTGTGGACCATATATCCTCTGCACTTGAAAACAAGCAATATTGCACTGGTGCCTTTCTGGACGTAGCGCAAGCTTTCGACCGGGTGTGGCACGATGGCTTGCTTTTCAAGCTCAAAACCCATTTACCCCAATCCTTATACCTAGTCCTCAAATCCTATCTCTCAAATCGTTCCTTCCAAGTCCGTTGCTGCACCGAATTCTCCACTTACTATCCAGTTGAGGCTGGTGTTCCACAAGGCAGTGTTTTGGGTCCAGTTCTCTACATCCTTTTCACTGCCGATATCCCTTCAAATCCCGATACCTTCCTAGCTACATTTGCTGATGATACTGCCATTCTATCCTCTCACTCAGATCCTCAAATAGCATCTCAAAACCTACAATCTCACCTCTCCTTGATTGAGCAGTGGTGCAACAACTGGCGCATCAAAATCAATGAAGCAAAATGCAAACATATTACTTTCACTCTGTGACGCAGATCCTGTCCCACAATCCTTTTCAATTTAATACCACTTCCCTACTCAGATACAGTCCGTTACCTTGGCTTCCTTTTAGACAAAAGACTAACTTGGAACCCACATACGAGACTTAAAAGACAAGAACTTAACCAACGATATGGCCAGCTATATAGACTACTAAGCAGGACATCTCATCTTTCGATTGAAAATAAACTTTTAATCTACAAGACAATACTGAAACCTATCTGGACCTACGGACTTGAACTGTGGGGAACTGCTAAACATTCGAATATCAAACGCATCCAATCCTTCCAGTCCAAAGTACTTAGAACAATAGCGAATGCCCCATATTATGTCACAAATAAGACCCTACACCATGACCTTAACATCCCATTTGTCCTCGACATCATCCCATCCAGATTCTCAAACTTTCACCAGAACCTTATCCATCATCCAAATCCTCTAGCTCAATCCCTATCCAGCTCCCACCATCCCTACAATCCCCCTCGAAGGTTAAAACGGCAGTGGCCGCGAGATCTATTGTAAATATGCTTCTGGAGTCCTGGCAATGGCCAGCTTCTCCACTCAAGTCCTGAGCATCTATGGCTCTAGTACCCTCCTTCAGCCTCCACTGGCTTTTAGTACTAGTGATGCGGCTGAAAAAGTGGCACTGGGATCTCTGGAGTCCTGCTTTGCTTTCCACATGTGGGGAGAAAAGCCTGGCTCGGAGATTCCTGGGCGAATATATATATTGTATATAGGTATGAATGTGTTTAGAAGTTGTTATTTTATTTTGTTTGTTTATTTTTTTTTTCCTATTGATTTACTTTTTTTTTATTAGTATTATTTATTTACTTCTTATATTTATAGTTACTTCTGTATTACTTGTATATACTGTATGAATGAGAACTTCTAGCCTTAATACTTATAGCCCTCCAACAGTGGCTGATTGTATTATTATTCAATAAAAAAAAAAAAAAAAAAAAAAAAAAAAAAAAAAAAAAAAAAAAAAAAAAAAAAAAAAAAAAAAAAAAAAAAAAAAAAAAAAAAAAAAAAAAAATTGGAGATAATAAACCATTGTGAAATCATTTGCAGCGTTTTTTAATTAAGTTAACTGCAGTATTTACAGTTTGATGCTTCGGATGGTTCAAGTGGTAATTTAATATTAGATCGCTATATTTCTGATCCAATATGTTTCTACTTAATAATTATTCACTTAAGATTCAAGAAAATGTCAGATTGAGGTCAAAGTCTTTTAAAATTTGAGCGAAATTCAAAAGATAATTGAAGAAATAAATCAAAAAATCACATTTATCATTCAAAATTCATTTCTTTAGTTATCAAATCATATATCTTTGTCTCCCAAACATCACTAAGTCATTCACTGCTTTATTTGGCTTAACGTTCATGAACAAGTTAATGTTTTCCTTCATTCATTTTTTCATGTGTTTTTTCATCAGGCAGAAATCACTATCACAAAATTCACTTATACGGCTTTCTGATTTTTTTGTTCAAATGTCCATTTAATCATTACTGAGTAACTTTTATGCATTTTCATGATTTAGTTTTAAGTTATCATATTAATAATGTTAATGAAATTTACAGTTGGTTAAAATCAGTGGTTTACATAATATTGGATAAAAGAGATAGTTGGTACCATCTAACTCCAAAGCATGTTGGGGACTCAGGTTTTCTTGTGGAAAGTTTTTTCTCATCAATTAATGTTTTATTAGAGAAGCAATTTCGTCTTATTATTACTAAATCAATTATTCACTACGCTGAAATATTTTCGATTTACAAAGTAATAATATTTTTCTGTCTTATCAGTTTATCACAACTTTATTTAGTAAATAATAATATTTTTTAATTTTATTCCATTTGAGGGAGGTAATAAGATACCAGATATGTATCAAGATTTAATGTTTCCAAGACCTCCTATGATAAGAGTTGGTGTGGAACCTGAATTAGGAACTAAAAATTTATATTTAGTTCCTATCCTAGATGATATTGTTGAACTACTATGTTCTGTTTTTTCCAAAATTCTTCATGTGTTTGATAAAATTCCTGTTATTGAAGCTATGTTAATTCCAGGTAGTTATATGTGCATTTATTTTCTAATTTCAATATTTCTCATTTCTGTTATAATTGATAGTAAGTTATTTTATTTCTCAGAATTTGCAGAAAATAATTCATATTTTCGTCGAGTTCATTCATATGAAAAACATATACATACAAAAATAAATGAAACTAAATCTATTTTTGTTATTAATACTGAGGGTCCTACACAGTATTTACAGATTTATGAACCATATTTATATATTTTATGTGGAGAAGCGGACAAAGAATTGAAGCAATTTTTTGAAATTGTTCCATTCCCTTTTTTAAAGGTGAGTATGAATCTTTTACTAGTAAGGTCCTCTTATAAAGATTTATTTGTATTAAAAATATTAGACCCATGTCCTAGTGTTCTTGCCAATGCACCTTAGGAGCCGAGGAAAAAAATGTTTTTGTATTTTTGTTACTGTTTTCTAATTTTGCTCTTCATAAATTTATAATTTTATTTCAATTGATTTGTTTAAAATAAGAAAAACGTATTGCTAATTGTATTAAATGGATTATAAGGTATAATCTATATATATAAAAATGAATGTATGTCCGTTTGTCCTTTATGCATTACGAAACCATTCATCCGATCGCTATGAAACTTAGGGGAGTTGTTGCGTACACTCTCATGAAGGTTTCTGGCATAGTGCATCCGTCCTACGATAATTATATATGTGTAAAAAAATATCGCTATATACTGTTGTGCCTGAAATGGCTGAAACAATTTTAACGAAACTTGGCTAAAATCTTCCCCTTGAAAACCTTTTAATTTATGTATATAAAATGCTTTCCCGAAAATAAGCTGTAAAATATATTACGATGAATTCAAAATTTTATTTGAAAATAACTAAAAAAGTACTCAATTTTCGATTGATATTAACCATATTTATTTGAAGGCTTCCTAAATTCCCTACAAAATAAAAAATAATGCCATCGAAATAAATAAGAATAAAATAATGTGTAGGCCATAGGAGTAAAATGGGTTAAAATATTTTTTTAAGGAGAAACAAAGTTGATATTTGTATTTAACACCTCCATAAACCTTAAATACCAATTTTCTCTGGAATCGAACAATAATATTTTTTGTCTCAAATTTTCGTCAAGGGTAGCACCTTCTGGTTTTATTTCAGAAACCACAAAAAGTGTAATAATTTAATCATGGCTCCACCTATACACATAAAAATAAGCAGGGATTTAGGATCAAGTTAACTGCACAAAACGCAACAAACCCTCCCCAGGTAAGCATATTAGAACTGGAGATAAAACATTTTGGTCCTCCAGACACGATTAAATAGTTTTTTCCATATTAGCGATGTTTTGCCATAAGTAAAGGAGAAAAATTGTCTGGTAGGTTATGAGAATTTATGTAAAGATCATCTATTTCCGGGAAGATATTCGTATTTCGCCTATTAATTAGTTTTTTTAAATATAACTTATGTCATTTATGGCTTTGTTGTGTATTTGGGAATGCCAGAGTAATAAAAATTATTTTTTTTTTTTTTGTAAAAATTATAAATTTCCGGACTAATATTCATATTTCGCCTATTAATTCGTTGTTGTTTTTTTAATATATCCTATCTAATAGATCTAATGCTTTTGTTACATATTTGGGGAAGTGGAGCAGTTTCCAGGACTTGCTGGAATTAAGTGACTTTGTTAATACTTAGGTTAATCCTTGCTTGTTTGCTGCTGAACTTTGAATAATAGACCTGCTTTGCTGAACTTTGAACTTATTTTGATATTAAATTGGAATAATTCTTCAGCTATCTTCACCTCGATCCGCACCATCAACCGATCACTGGCTTTTAGGAAATGTTTCAATTCCCCGGTTTCCCCAGCTAATTTCTCTAAATCGGAGACCACTTTTCGTAAGTCTTGGAAGGTTGCCAGCCTTTAACCATGCCAGAGCATGAGACTCCACTAACATGTCTCTTGGCAGTGGTGGGATTTGGCATTCCACTGGCTGATTTAGCATCTCTTACTGTTTAACTTTCTTAGCCTGAACAAGTAAAAAAAAATAATATGATACTCACGTATACTTCCAATACTCAAGTCCTGGCAACACAAGGGTTTCGGCACCAGTTAACTATTGGCTTCGATAAATAGAAAAAATAAGAAAGAAACAACTGGAAATAGATTAATTTTCAAAAAGGTTTATATTTTACAAAAAGTAGAGTCTTTTTCACAGAAGGTTATATAACAGTATATTTATAACATGTGTTTATTTTTAAATGAAAGAAATAATATTAAATCTTATAAGTCTTATCCATCTCAGGCCGGACCTTAACTTCTATGTACTATATATATGTCTATGTAAACCTAATATTATAAATAAGTATTAAGGTTTAAATACGTAATCTATATTACGGATTAAGCGGGCGCCGAGTTTAATACTAGTCTTGCTTACGTCCTCATCAGGACCAATTCTAAGGCTCTGGTGTGACTGAGGTTGTTTTATTACTGAGAACGTTGTTATTATGAATCCTACACCTGTTGGTCAGAGCATGACCGTGCCTCCCAGGTCTTCTTCCACAATAACTAATGAAAGTCGACTGGTACGAGCTCGACTGCCTCAAATTAAGTTTTACCCCAGTTTGGGGGAAACTCTAAAGAGTGGCCTTTATATAGAGACACTTATAAATCCCTCATTCATGAGGAAACAACACTTTACAATATGGAAATATTCCTTTTTCTTGTGTCTTGCTTACACGGACCTGCTCGATCGTTGATTTCCAATGTTAGTCTAACAGAGAATAACTATTCTCAGGCCTGAAAGCTGTTGAATGACCATTATAACAACAGGAAGAAGTTGGTGAACACATATTTGAAACGAGTTCTTTAATTTAAGGCTCTTACAGGAAAACCTTCTCCATGGTCACTGAAAGCAATATTAACTTCTGTAATTGAGTCCATCGACTCTTTCAAACATCTGGGCATCCCAGACTTAAAAGATTTCCTTCTTTCGTATTTGGTTCTTCGTTGCTTAGATCTTACAACTAGGATCCTGTTTGAGAAGAAATTCGCTGATGTGGAGTTCCCTTCATATTCAGAGCTGGTAAATTTTATTAAGTCTGAATGGAAATCTCTTGACATCCATGACACAGAGCCAGAGCCAGAGCCAGAGCAACAACATGTCACCAGAAAGAAGAATAATCATGCGCAAGCTTCCCTTTCACCTTCATACAATCAGACGAGACACTCATTGCTAAGTGGTAAGCCAGATCGATGGGGATCAGCTCAGAATCGTAACTCGCGAAGCCAGCAGAAGCATATCACGAAACTTCAGTACTGTTTCATTAGCTGGGTGGGTCGAAACCTTACTTGTTATCTAACATCACGTCACATAACCTCCCTCTTCTTATCTCCCCAAACTTTTCAGTTATTTCATTGTTTATTTTTCAGTTATTCTCATATTACGTTCAGTTATTAAATTCTTTATTTTTGGCTTGTTTGTGTTTATTTGTCAGTATTTTTTCGTCAAATTATGAATCTTGTTACATTCTGGGATTTACCATCTTCAGAAGAACGGGCTATTGAATATTTTCAAAATGTTGGGATACTTGCAGATGTGAAATTAGGTGAACGAGATCCTCAAATGAAGTTAACCAGGGACGCGAAATGGAGATGCTGTCGTAACACTTGTAACATAAAAGTTTCAACAAGGAAAGGAACATGTTTGGAGGGCTCAAGGATTTCGTTTTTAACGGCTTTAAAATTGATTTATGGGTGGTCCCATAACTTAACAACAATGAAGTGGGGCAAAGAGCAGCTGAAACTATCCAATGGAGCTATGGTAACGTGGAACAAATGTCTAAGAGAGGTTTGTGCCCATGACATGTTATAAAGGTCAAGAAAAAAAATTGGAGGGCCTGGCAAAGTGGTTGAAGTAGACGAGTCTTTTTTTCTAAACGAAAAAATCATGTGGGGAGAGTTTTACTTGAGCAATGGATGTTTGATGGAGTTTGCTGAGAAATAGATAAGTGTTTTATTGTCAAAGTAAATGACAGAAAGGCAACAACCTTATTAGAAGGTATTAAAGACAATATAGAAGAGGGGTCCACCATTTATTCGGACTGTTGGAAAGGATGCAACACCCGACAACTGAACGAAGCAAACTATAACCATTTCCAACTGAATCACCGCTATAATTTTGTCGATCCATCAACTGGGGTTCATACTCAACACATATAACGATTATGGGGCTCAGCTAAGTGGAGAAATAAAATACATAGAGGAACTGCCAAACAACACTTCGATTCATATTTATGCGAAGTTTTGTGGCGGTGGGTTCACAAAGAAGAGGACCCGTTCCTCGCTATTTTAAATAGCATAAAACTATTTTGCATACCAAAATAAATAACATGAAGTGAAAATAAATTGTATATATGTCGTTTATAGTGTTTATATTTTTTCTTTTATATGTACATATGTTCTTTAAGTGTTTTTTTATTATTTCATTTTCATCTTTTATATGTACTTATGTTCTTTAAGTGTTTTATTATTATTTCATTAATATATATGTCGTAAAATAAAAGTTTTTTTTTGTTATTACATTTAGTTTTGTTTCTGTTTAAATATTCAATAATACGAATAAAATACAATAATATGAAGATAGGAATTACGAGAAGGCTTATCACTGCCTTATCGGAATTATCATTGTTCAGGTTATAAACATTGGCAGATTTAAAGACTCCCCCGGCACTTAGACGCGAACTTGTGACTATTTTTATATCAATCGTCTCATAGCCGGGCAACGGTGGTGCTGTGCACACACCTTTGCCCGTTAATTTCTTCTGAATCACTGATGTACATACCATTTTCCTTAGGCTTAGAAGGTCTATCATTAGTTGTGATGTCGGTTATAGTTTTTTCTTTTTCTGTTTCACTTATAATGTCAACATCAGTCTCTTCTACTACTGGCAAATCTGGGTTGATGTTATCAGACCTATACTCATCTTCCTTCAGTAACTCCTTTTCAATTAATGTTTCTTTTTCTTCATAAATATTCTCTTTCTCAGTTCCAGGAGGCTCACTATCATTGATTATTTCAGTCAAGGATTCTTCAAAAATAACAGTTGTCCCACAATCCTTTCCATCATAAGTTGTTTCATTTATTTCTTCATCAGTAGGACTTCCATCTAAATGTTCATTATCATCAACTACAATGTTTTCAATACTTTGTACATTTGTAGGATCCTCTCCAGCTTTAGTTTCCATAGTACTTTCATCATTATTATTTCCTAGTGGTTCACCATCTTGAATAGATGAGCTCTGTATAATAGTGACATCTTCAGATTTGGTTTGTTGTTTATTATTGGTTTCATTAAAAAGGGCAGTTTGATACCTTAAATTTGTTTTTAATGCACCAGTGTCATTTTTATTAATACACTTTTGAACTTCTTGGTTGGACTTTGTGATTGTTTCATCTAGTTTATCAAATTTGTTACTTTAGTTTTTTATGTCCGATCTTAATTCCTGTTTTACCGATTCGAGTGCAGCCAAAAAGGTTGCAATGAAAGCATTTTGCTGGGATGTTACTTGTTCCTTTGTTTGAGAATGCATGATTAATTTATATGTGAGACATTAACCTCCAAATTGCGAATAGTTACGTGTTTTTGGTCGGAGTCTACAGATTGCTTAAACATTTTAAAGTGGTCTTTGCGCGACGCCATTTTGAAATTGCGAAATAAACAAACTTATTTTTTTTTTTAACAAATTGAATGATAATTAATCTTCTGCGACCCAATCAACAGTTTACTTCCATTGTAAATAACATGTTAAAGGTTAAATGTAAATAATTTTATTTTGCGGGAATTGTAAATATTCCTTCCGTTTTTTCGGGGAACTAGGTTATTTACACTCATGATCATTAAAACAAAACCCCGGCACTGGATATAGACTTTTTGAGGGTGTTTAACTGTTGTTGGGAATTTGGGAATCTAATACCTTTTGTAACACCGAGTGACAAGAAACAATAAGAATATATATAAATATATATATATATATATATATATATATATATATATATATATATATATATATATATATATATATATATATATATTGTAATGTCAACATTACATGGTATATAAATAGTGGCGCGAAAGTGGCAAGAAGATGAACTACAGGGAAGAAAGTGGGGGAAGCAAGCTTCATGTAAGGGAGGAGGGAAGTTGCTAGCGGCTAAGAGAGAAGATGTGATAAGCTGTCAAGAGAGAAGCCAGCAACTTGAGAAAATAGAAACAGCCACAAAGTTTAGACTGGGACAATAAAGGTTTTTGAAGTATAATTTTTAATGTATGTATCTCGTTTCTTTATTTGTATTTAGTAATTAGTAGATTATAGTTATTAAATGTGAGAGTGTTCAGTTGTCAGAACCCAACCTGAGATTAATGTTATAAGTGTAAAATAAATAATATATTCTAAAAGGAACTCGTTTGTTTTGTTTTTGTTCCTTTTGAAAACGTTACAATATATATATATATATATATATATATATAATTGAGTCTGACTTTGGCAGTATTGAGCGTCAGTTCGGGTCTGTGTTCATTTTTAATCCTATTAAGTTATACACTCCCTATAAAAGTGATTTTTTGTATACTCCTGTAATTCCTATTTAGGAATGCTTTTACAAATTTCGGTGGTGTTCTAAAGAGTGTAAGAGCAGCTGTGAAGGAATACATGAAGAGGTATTTCGTTGGAAGTTTGCAGCCGTTATCGCTAAAATCTGCAAGAAATTTCCTGTCAGCCCCCCTCCTCTGTCTCAGTCTCATCACAAGCAGGTCTCCAGCAAAATGGCCGGTGCAGTATTGGATTGAAATTACGCTATCAAGACTTTAAAAGAGGTTTTGGATTACAATCTCTTGAGAAAAGACCTGCGACCGAAGGTAGGAAAAGCTATCGAAGTGATGGAAAAATATGTAGGTAATCTTTGTGACCAATCATTTAGTTTGGAAATCGGGGAGGTTATTAAAAAAGACAACCTCTCTTTAAATAACAAAATTAGTTACTCAGCAGTTGCCCAAAGGGTTGTAATGAAAGCAAAAAATCGAACAGCCCATAAGGCAATTATTAAACCTAAAATATCATTAGAACCGAATGAACTTTGTAACGAATTTAAGTCTTTAGTAAATCCAAAAGATTTACACATCAGTTTTCAAAAGGTTGTAGAAACAAAAAACGGATCATTAATAATACAGACCGACAGGGAGAAAGATCTCAACTAAATTGCTCAAACTATAAAAGGCTCAAGAAAAATATCATACCATAAAATGAACCCTCGTGTTGTTGTGAGAAACATTGAGGAAGAAATAAATTTACAGAATATAACCGACTACGTAACTGCTCAAAATGACGATATTCATTTACAAAAGGATAAAATAAGACCTGTGATTATCCTCACTACAAGAAAGAATAGCAGTCGGCATGCTGTTTTGGAGGTTGACGCGGGGACTCGAGAATTGCTATTATATAATAAAATCAGCCTCGGACATCAAAAGGTGAGAATTCAGGATTATTTCCAAATAAGAAGGTGCACCAAGTGTCTTAAATTTCACCATAGAAGCAAGGATTGCAGAGGGACGATAGCATGCTCGAACTGCGGAGGTCAACACGCGGCTAGTGACTGCACTTCTCAAGAAATGAAATGTATCATTTGTCAAAACTACAACAAGTTCACTAAAAGCCAAAAGAAGCGCCCCACAGAACATTCTGTATTTGACCGAAACTGCCCGTCGTACTTGACAGAAATACAGAAATTGGCATCTAATACCAACTACAACATCCCTCTACAGTGAGTAATTAATAACCACAATATATACATATTTCAAAATATTATTGGGGACTGTAAACAATTAATTTTTAAGGATGGTACATAGACAATTAAACATGTTACAACTCAACACACATCATTCAAAATGCACATTTTACATGCTACAACAGTACATAAAAATGAAACAAATAGACATTTTATTAATCCAAGAACCTTATACAAGATTAAATAAAATTGTAGGTTATAATCAGTCAAGGATTTTTCAAACAATGCAATCCCAGGGCTAGATTCGTTGTGACCAATAAAAACATTGATGCCTGCATGATATTGCAACATTCTGATTGTGATTTTGTTTGCATAGAAATATCATACAGTGAATTAAAATGTATAATAATATGTGCTTATTTTGATATCACCCAAAACATAAATTGGGATTTACAAAAAATTAGAACGCGTTTTGGATTATTTTAAAGATTCTAATATCATTATTGGATTGGACTCCAATGCAAGATCTAAATATTGGTTCGACAAACAAACTAACGAAAGGGGTAAAAATATGGAAACTTTTATTGTTGAGAAAGATTTGTTCTTAATGAATATAAATTCCGAACTAATGACTTTCCAAGGGCCGCGAGGCAGTAGTAATATTGATTTAACATTATCTAATACAAAACTGATTAGACATAATCTTGTAAAAAATTGGACAATTTCTAGAGAAACAAATTTTTCGGACCACAACATTTTGACTTATGAGTTACATTTACAGGGAAATGATAAAACTGGAGTGCTAGCAAAAAACTATATATATTTGACAGAGAATGGTGACTGGAATAAATTCTTGGCTAACTTAATACATCAGTTAGAAAAACAGTTTTTATCTCAACATTGTACTGATAAGAAGGAATTGACAGTTTATGAGACCGAAAAGCTGATTCTTAATGAGTTTTCTCTTATGCCTACTGATATTATCATAAATAAAATGATAAAATCTATCGTAAAATCTTGCAATATAGCATTCAAAAGATCCGGCCATTTCAAAGGTCGAACTAGAAAAAGATCAGTACCTTGGTGGAACCCTGAACTAACTGGCTTGCGTAAAGAGACAAATCATCTAAGAAGAAATTACCAGCGGACAAAAGACGATGGACTAAGGGAATCAAGGAGAGTGATCTATCTCAAAAGTAGGCAAGCATATCAAAAGCTAATTAAAAGTTCCAAATTAAAGTCCTGGAAGACATTTGCTACTGCATCAAAGGCGTGGCAATGGCCATATAAGTTTGTATCCAATAAAATAAAACCTCAAACCTTACTCACTACCACTTTGAATGAACTAGGAACATACACAACAGACACTAAGAATACATTATCTCATATATTAAATAAGATAATCAAAGATGACAATACAAGTGATGACACTAACGAACACAGACAAATGAGAACAGAAATACTTATCCCGCCTAATAATGACGATGACACTAATATCCGGGATTTTGAAATATTACAAGTTATTAATAAATTGGATGACAAGAAAGCACCAGGAATAGACAAAATTTACCCAAGAATGATAAAAAAGATAGCTGACTCCTTTCCAAAATTGATAACTGGACTTTATAAAACCTTATTCAAAAGAAATGAATTTCCTAAAAGCTGGAAGGTGGGTAAATTAACATTGATTCCTAAGGCTAATTCATTTTCACTGAGACCACTAAGTATGCTTCCTGTAATGAGTAGAATTTTTGAAAAAATAATAAAAAATAGATTAATGCATCATCTACTTTGTAGCAATATACTCCACCGACACCAATTTGGATTCAGACCTCAATCAGGAACTGACGATGCACTCAGTGAATTGAACGACCATATCACCAGTACACTCCGGCAAAATAGTAATTTACTGGTTGTTTCTTTGGATATCGCGGGTGCCTTTGACAACGCCTGGTGGCCTGCGATTTTAAATAATCTAAAGGAATATAAATGTCCAAAAAACATATACAAAATCATTCAAAATTATTTTTCTGACAGAAAACTTGCAATCCAAACAAACTTTCATTATATTGACAAGAAATTGACGCTAGGAACTCCTCAAGGATCAGCACTATCACCTATACTATGGAACATCTTAATCAATACTGTTTTCGAAATAGAACTACAGGAAAATTCAACATTATTAGCATACGCAGACGATTTATTATTACTTATAAAACGAAGAGATTTCGATGAATTACAGACAATAGCAAACATAACATTATCAAGGCTGTGACAATGGACTAGACGCAACAAACTTAAATTTAATCTAGACAAGACAAAATATATAATCTTCACAAAAAAGAGAATTGTACCAGAATTGGATATTCGACTCAATACAGTAAGAATAACGCAATGTGATACATTATCATATTTGGGACTTCTCTTTGACAGAAAACTGAACTGGAACAGACATATAGATAATCTATATGACAACACTTTAAGGATTATAAATGGACTATCAGGGCTGTTGCCAATCCAAATGAAGATTGAAGAACGAACGACCTTATATAACATTAGAAAAGGAAAGAGAGGATACAGAGACCTGACCCTGGACAAAATAGAAAGAATAACTGACTGTAAATCTTGGTTACACCCTGCAACAAGTTTATGGACTGGACCAAGAATTACTTCTGAAAATACTGATGTTTTCACTGATGGTAGTAAGGACGGCGAGAATGTTGGATGTGCATGGTTGTTCAGAGCTCAAGATGGTAGGAATATAGAACATCAATATAAATTAGAATCATATTGCTCAAATAATCAGGCAGAAAAATTCGCTGTTTTAAAGGTTACTGAATACATATATAAATACCCTCTACAAACGAACACTCACGTTACTATAAATACAGACAACAAAGTTCTGCTAGACTCTGTTAATAATTGGGACATTCATGATTACTTGACTGACCAAATTAGAAACAAATTGTTAATGATGAGAACTGTAGGGAAAGTAGTGACTCTAAAATGGGTAAAAGCACATTGTGGGATTGAGGGCAATGAACGAGCCGATTGCCTTGCAAAAGAAGCAGCTAAAAGCGATTTGCCGCCATCGTATCATCAAGCTCCTTTATCGTATATTAATATGAATTTAAAGTTGGATTTCATCAACAACACCTATGGGTGATCTCAGCTATGTCACCAAGCTTACACAGATTTATACCACACATTTCAATTAACAATTACAGACACATTCACAGTAATGACTACAAACTTACGCAAGTACTTACGGAACATGGGAATACAAAACAATATCTTAAAAGATTCAACATTATATAAACAGACTTATGTGATGAAGACGGATAGGTTCAAAATTTTAAACATATAATATATGAATGTAAACGATTTGACAGACAGCGATTTGAGTTGATAAAAAGCATAATTATCAAAAGAGGAAATTGGCCTGAGACGGAACAAAAGTTATTTACTGAATTCAAGACAGACTTTCTTAGATTTATTAGATCGATCGACTTCGACTTACTAACCAGGGATGGGCAGCGTGGGTGATTTCTTTTTGGCTTTGTTGGATTGACTTTGTGTGTTTAATATTTAATTTTCCGATTTAATTTTTGTGTGTTTATTCTTTGTATTTTTGTTTGTTAATGTATATAAATTTGAACTAAAAATGTATATCATGTGAAACTAGAAAAAAAAAACAATAGTAAACAAATGTAATTCATGTAGTATGTCTTTAAGGCATGGAGCATGAAGGAAAATCAAATAAACGATCCTTGTGTGGGGTTACCACGTAGGGGAAAAAAAAAAAAAAAAAAAAATATATATATATATATGGACTATGGGACTTAGTAAATAAACTTTGAATGAATTGACTCACCTGGTTTGTTATTGTTATATGACTTTTCACTCCTGTATAATAAAACAATTTATTTTGACAACTGTAATAAATGAATCTATTAAAGTCTTATAACTGTAGGCTTGATATTCTTAGTCTTCAAAGTCGTATACATCTCTTCTCAGGTAATATCCTTTCGCCTTCTTGTCCCAGCCTCAAGTAAAGTCTCCTCTCTTCTCTGGCATTCTGACTGGTTTTTAAATAGCAATTGGAATAGTAGGATTTTTAAAGGTAGGGAATTCCTGAAATGAGTTGAGCGGCTGAAGAAGAAGTTTTGGAAAGAGGCAAATCTGTGAAAAGTGTTATAAAGGTCAAAGGTCAGGATCATGTGATAAGAGAGTGGGCAGAGGACTTAAATTCAAGATCATAAGCATAGGAGAGACGTTGACTGTTGATAATTTGATAAAGAAATGTGCCTACGGAGAAGAAAATATTATCTACGTAAGGAAGGAGAGAGTCACCCAAACTCAGCGTAATAGTGGGAGACAAGTGAACGTCTCGGGGTCCCACTGACATATCTGACAAAGCTCTTCATGAGTCTCTTGAGTCTGTCACGAAGATTCACTGAGAGACAACCGTATACTACTCAGCAGTAGTCATGCATGCAGAAATAAACTAACAACATGCAGAAAGAAACTAAGAGTCTACAGATAGGTTCAGGTACGAGATGACAGAAGCGATGGAATTATTTGAGAGTGTAAATTGATCGTCAAGCGATGTAGAAAATGTGGTAATTCCAGGAAACGGTTTGATCAATGAAAAAGTGTAAGTTTTTAACAGAGGAGGTAATGGGTTGATCATTTAGGCATAGTGTGAAAAACTTGAAATTGGATTGGAGAAGAGGCTTGAAACCAACGGCAATGGCCTGAGTTTTTTCATCATTTAACCTTAATTCATTTAGGCTTGCACAGGCACTGATTCTATCTAGGTCTTCTTGAATCTTGGCAAATGCTACAAATAACTCAGAGGGAGAGAATGATAAATAGATGTAGGAATTGCTAGCATAAGGTGATGGGTACACTTAAGGATTGATTTATGAGGATTGTTTATGTAGGCACTAAAAACAAGTGGAGAAATACTAGAACCCTGAACAACTCCTGAGGAGAGAGAAAGATGAGAAGAAAGCGGTACATTAGGGATGGAAACGTTATAAACGTTGAGATAGGAAAGATAGAAACCAAGAGATGGAAATGTTGGAGGAGGATATTGATTTTAGTTTTGAAAAAAGGATTAAATGGCTGATGGAGTCAAAGGCTTTGGAGAAGACAAGCAGGCCAAGGACTGTTAATTTTTTTTTATCAAAAGCAGCCTGAACATCACCAATAATTCTAATTAGGGCCGATTACATGGAGTAACCATGGCAGAAACCTGATTGAAGAGAATCGAATTGGTTGGATTCTTCATGAAAGTTGGATACATGTAAGTAGGATCACTTCAGCAGAAAAGAGTTCCTCTGGAGATTAATTGTTAAGACAAGAGGAGAATTTGTCAGAAATTAAAGCATTCGGGTGTCAAATCTGTGTGCAGCATCATGCTAGATCGGCAACTAAAATGTCTGTAGAATGAATAATACCAGAAAAGCCAAGTTGTGCTTAAAAGCCAGACCAGAAGAAAGACATCCTTATGGCAGACCCAGATGCATTTACTAGGATTACATTAGAAAACTGGAGGCAGCAAGAGGACATATCAAACCGGAGATTAGAAGACTTGCCAGGGAGAGGGATCGTGGACTAGATGGACTGAGACTGCAACTCCACACTTGACGGCACACAAGAGTTGAAGAAAGAAGAAGAGTTTGTGATTTATTCTCACATTAATATAACTTTTTTTTTCTTAATCTTTTGATGCTGATCATGTCGCTGAAAACATTTATTTCAGATGTATAAAGAAAAATATAAGAAGTAGTTTTTTATTTATTGGAGGCATTGCCAAAGGAAGTAATGCGCTAATTTTGTCCTGGAGTTTATTTATGTTGAGTTTATTTATCTGGAATCTATTCAAATATACTTGGATCATTCCACAGTAATTGTGCATTTATTTTGTTTTAGGATTTTGGAAGAAAAATTGCCAAGTACAATGAACTAAAAAATGAAATTTTGTTTTTAAGAAATAAAATTCCATTAAATCTAATTGAGTTAGATTGTAGCAAGGTTAACACTGGTATGACTGGAATCATTGATGAATTAAGACAATATATTGTTGACTATTTCTTCAGGCTTAACATGGATCAAAATAATCAGTAAATAATGACATAATTATTTTTGTAAATATTTTAAACTCCTTGTCTTATTTATTTATAAAATTTTCAGGATTGCTAAAACATTTGATGAAATAAGTATGAGAGCAAATGAAATACCTGAAAATATTCCAGAACTAGTGGAACTAACAAATTTCATAATTGAAAGCCGAGATGCCACAATGTTTGATATGAAAAATATGTTAATGAAAAGTGCAGAATATGTGATCTTTTTAACTGAACATGCAAAAATCACTGGTAAATATTATTTTAGGGTCATTTGATTTGAAATCACCCAGACCATATTGCTCAACATTTTTAATTTTATCATTTTTTTTACCGATTATTCCATATTTATTTTAGAGTTTAAAACTAGTTAACAAATTTTTAAGGCTACCGTTTTTCCTCATTAGCCATTTTGAATTTGCTTTTCAACTAAAATAGGGGAAATTAGGGAAAATGCCTATAAATCTGATAATTTTGTAGATATCAAATCAAAATAAAAACTGAAATAATGTAGAGTATTTTTTATACATTTCTATCCATCAATACATGACCTAAAAAGAAAGAAAAGAAGATCATGGAATCATGCAAATAGGTATAAAACGAGACATTTAGGGTTGCAAAAGTATGTGTAATAATGAAAAGAGTCTCAGTGGATATAAAGATAATTCTTCACTGTTGAGATGATTACATGTATCAGTGGATACAGTAGTAGCTGTCACTGCAGTGAAAACTTACATATCTTATATGTAATGATAAATTAAAATAAATTTTGTACCACAATTACATATTGCAGGATGCTGAGTTATCATTTAAATAATGCAATTTCCAGACATATTTGATACAATATAACCATTTATGTTCTTATTATAAATTTTTATATAATTCACAAGTTTCATAATTTTCTACTCAGTCTCTTTTATGGTATTCAAATTCAAAGCTCGCCAAAAATAACTGTTTTTGAAAATTCACATCTAAAAAAGGACAAGGTTTTCAAAATAGAAATTTCATCAGAAAATAATACCAAATATGAAAAAAAAATCTGGTGCGCATTACACACAATTTTCACTTACCGCTCTACTTTGATTAGAAATTATTTTCTGGCAATGCTGAGCTATTATAAAAGTTTTGAAGTTCATTTTAAATGGAGCTAAAGCTTAAAGCTTACAGATAACAAATCATTAAGGTCATTAAAATTACAAAAAGTTTATTTATGATATCGATGGTAGGCAATAAAAATCTTGTTACTCCATCTGATTTTATGAACCACACAACTTCAGTCTCTGAGCCTTTCAGTTGACAGAGTTACTAACTCCAATTTCAACATTTTTGAGATGCCATTTTAGTAATATTTCTAGTTGAAAAAGTTATCTATACAGACAGTGAGTACGTTGGTTCCAGAGTAGGTGATTGCAGTGTTGCAATAAAGGACTGTGAATAAAGTGATCCTCTCTTCACTTCACAGCCATTTTCTTTTCCCTGCACTAGTAGAACTAGATTAACTTGCCTTTTAATTGTTCAGCATTAATTTATTAAATCATTTTTACCCACTTCCAATAAAAATGTATATTACATTATTACTATGTATTATTTCTGGAGATTCATTTTCAACTTGCATAAGAATTTTTTTTTTCTCCAGTTTCCGATTATCATATTCTTTCAAACTTCTTATGGCTAACCCTTCGTAAACTCGTTCTTTGGAAATCCTCTTCCTCATCGATCTACCCGGTTTCACCTGATGAATTAAATTCCTATTTTATATTTTTCACCACCAGCAACAGCTCACCCTCCTCTTACCAGTTTTCCTTATCACCCTCATTTGACAGTAATAATTTCTATTTCTCCAACATTTCACCAACCGACCTTATTTCCTCTGTAATGAAATCTCATACAACTCTATCGGACTTGATGGAATACCTGTCAAACTGTTAAAATTATGCCTTCCTGTTCTTCTTCTCATCTATAATTTTTCCTACTGTTTGAAAAAAAAAATAGTAATACCTATTAACGAAATCCCCAATCCTACTTCTCCTAAAGACTACCGCCCAATCACCATTCTCTCTAACCTTTGTAAATCTCTGGAAAGAATAGCTCAATCCCAAATCTTTAAATTCCTTGAAAACTCAAAACTACTTGATCCTCTCCAATCTGGTTTTCGTTCTTGCTTCTCCACACAATCCGCCCTAATAAAAATTACCAATGACTTGCATACCGCAATGGAGGAAAAAATGTTAACAGTGGTACTACTTCTCGACTTTTCCAAAGCTTTTGACTCCTTAGACCACTCTATACTCTACACTAAATTAAAATCTATCCATCTCCAACAGCTCTATCCTTTGGTTACAGTCTTTCCTATCCGACAGAACTCAAGCATTCAGCTTTCTGAACCAACCTCTATCTTCCTTCCTTACACTGTCCTTTGGAGTGGCCCAGGGTTCAAGCATTTCCCCTTTCCTTTTTAATTCCTATATAAATGATCTTCCCAAATCCATCTACCACTGTTCACACCATTTATATGCTGATGACTCCCAAATCTATTTATCCTTTCACCCTTCTGAGCTACTAGTTGCATTCGCCAATACTGTGGCAGACCTAGACAGGATCAGTGCCTAGGCAAGTGTGAATAATTTAAAGCTAAACGCGATGAAAACTCATGCCATTATTATAGGTTCCAGTTCTATTCGTTTAGAACATTAAAATGTTTAAAACAATTTTATTCTTTTAAACATTTTAATATACGTAAATATTGTTTTTCCAATGTAGAGGTAGACCTTTCGTTTACTAAATTGTATATTTTCTACTTTTCAACATTAATAATATCTGGAAAATTAGTATTCTTGATTTCTTGTTTAGCATCATTTATTATTAAACTTATGATTCTTCTTAATAGAGGTGACATAAACAATTATGTACTCTGAGGTCATACTAGTTTCAACCACTATAGAAATATTCCTACCCCAAATCCTTCCAGTCTGTTAACCAAGTCATTCCTTCTTCCCCCATGACTAATATCCTTTTAACCTGCCTCGTCAACGCTCAGTCACTCCTAGCCCATTTTGATGAATTTTATGATTTTTTTCTCCACAACTTTTACCATTTAATTGCAATTTCTAAAACCTGGTTAAAGCCCTCTATTCCGTCTTCCCAAATTACTTTACCAAATTATATCCTCCTTCTTCATGACAGAGTGGATCGTACAAGTGGTGGTGTAAGTCTCTTTGTCCATGACAGCCTTTTTTTTTTTTTTTTTTTTTGCACTAACATTTATTTATCCGCACCTGTCTATTATTATTGACAATCAGCAGGTGTGCTGGCTTAGTAATGAGAAAAATAAAATAAAATAAAAAATAAATAAATAAAAAAGGCTTGATAGGCATGAGGAATAGCAATACCCAGCGGTATCCCTTCCATGGCTTTTATTTACTAACATTATTTAAGCAGATCCCTCATCCAGACCCTTTTCAGTCGTCTTCTGGAGTTCTCGGGCATACTAGTTGTGGCCATTACCAGCTGGTTTGAGTGCCCGTTTAACATGTTATGAAATCGTTTGTAGTACATTCGTATGTGTTCATTGACTGTCGGAACGTGTAGGTCGGTGTGTAAAGTGTGATTATTTACGTACCATGGTGCTTGAGTGATTAGTCGTAGTATCTTAGACTGAAAAGTTTGAAGTTTATTTATGTGAGTTGGTTTTGCAATTCCGTATATTTGTAGTCCGTAAGTCCAAAGAGGTTTTAAAAGATACGTGTAAATACTTAGTTTCTGTCTTGCTTTTAATTTGGAAGGTCGTCTTAACAGTGTATGTAACAATTTTAGTCTTAGATTTAATGTGATTCGTTTTTTCTTCACATGTGGACCCCATGTCATTCTCCTATCAAACGTAAGGCCTAGGTATTGTACTCTGTCTGTTTGTGAAATCGGTATGTTGTCTAAGTATACAGGAGGGCATGTTTCTGGTCTTAGAGTAAATGTGATGTGCTGTGACTTTTGATAATTTATTTTAGTTTTCCAAAGTTTACACCAATCGAGTATAATTTGTAAGTGATGTTGTAAGTTAAGTGATGTCTCTGTAGGATTGTCGTGCCTGGTAATGATAGCAGTGTCGTCTGCGTAGGTTGCTGTAAGAGTGTGGATACTTTGAGGAATGTCGTGTGTGTGTATGTGATGTACAGTAGTGGGGCTAGGATTCATCCCTGAGGTACACCAGCTAAAACTGATCGAATTGAGGATAGACCTTGGCCATGTCGAACGGAGAAAAATCTATCTGAGAGAAAGGAATGGAGAATTAAGTAGTAAGTATGTGGAAGTATGGTCTTAAGCTTGAAGAGAAGCCCCTGATGCCATACTTTGTCGAACGCTTGGGCGACATCCAGAAATACTCCGGTTGCATATAATTTCCGCTCTAGTGCTGTAGAGATGTAGTCAGTCACCCTGTGCAATTGTTGTGTTGTTGAATGTAATTTTCGTAACCCGAATTGATGGTCAGGAATAATCTGTCTGTCTGTTAGTATATGTAATAGTCGTGGGTACAATAGTTTTTCGAATAACTTAGAACATACTGGAAGTAAACTAATCGATCGATATAAAGAAGGGTCTTTGTTTGGCTTTTTAATCATGGTTATGTGTGAGTATTTCCATTGTATAGGAAATTTGGTGGTCCTGAGAATGCAATTGAAGATTGTGGTAAGAAACACTAGAGCTTTCCTTGGCATTTGCTGGAGCGCCTCAGCAGTTATTAAGTCATGACCAGGGGTTTTTCTTTTGGAAAATTGTCTAATTTCTTGTGCAACTTATGATGGTGTGAAAGGAGGTGGTGGTAGTGTGAGCTGTAGCGGTATGTCTAAGTTATTATGTACAAAAATATCGTGTTCTGTATTAATTAAGTCTGTATGTGGTTTAAAAACAGTAGAAAGATGGTTAGCAAAGAGTTCAGATCTTTCCTCGTCCGAAACAGCCCAAGAGCCATCCTCTCTTCGTAGGGGTGCTGACACCTCACGATGCTTTAAAAGATTCCTTGTATATCTCCATAAACTTCCATCGTCCGTCGAAAGGTTGTTAATAAAATTGTCGTAGTTTGTGCTTTTGAATTTTTGAATATGTCTTTTAAGTTTGTTGTTCAATCTGTTAAAAGTTTGTCGGTCTGAAGGAAGTCTATTAGTCTGCCATACTTTACGTGCTCTTCTCTTTGCTCTAATCAAATCCCTTATGTACATTGGATAATGGGGCAAGTTCGCTGCTTTTTGTAGCCTGGATGT